GTTTGTAAGAAAAGGTCACTCAAGAAGCAATAGGAGGGATTGGTGAAGTGAAATGCTTTGCTATGTTCTACACAGGAAGCCAAGGAACTGATGGAGTTCTCATACTAGCAGTGGGTAGTGCAATAAGGGGGCAATCCAAATGAGCTATATAGGCCAAATGTCCTTCTCTCATGTGTAATTGTTGTCCTGCTGTCACCTGGTGCACAGCCCCCAGAAGCTCTGCGGTACTGGAAATGCGCTCTATGGTGTTGGACAGGACCTCCAGGCTCTGCTCCAGCTTCTGCACGATCCTGCCACGCTTGCTGTCCACAAACAGGCCTTTCAGGGTCTGGCAAACAACACATGACACCACCTACTTAGTAGGGACTGAGAAAAGAGCACTAGTAGTACTTCTGTGTCTTGGCCGCTGACACTCATACCTGGTCATGACAGTGGCCATGTCTTCTGCCTTTCATTCCACCCTGGACTCTTGGATCAATGATGTGAATCAACTGTTGACTTAATTGGTCTTTATTACCCCTGTTTTTTGGGTGTTTAATCCTTAAGGAATGTAAATAACATCTGAAAGCAGGTGGAATGGAACCCTACAGTACCAGGAGTGAATATCACTAATCTTGGTGAACATTCAGCTATAGCAGTAAGACATACTGTACTGCTTCCTATATTTAAGAGCTAAAACAAACTGTACTTCAATATCAAGGTACTTTTGGAGTATCTGTCAGGAATAAAACACCACCACAAAATCATTTAATATGCAATGGAACTTGGATTGAAAATGGAGGCACTAGTCCTCTTTGTTGTTTCTCTGTGAGAGAGTTTCACTTTGTCTCTTCTCTTCGAATTTTAACAGGTTCCGTCGGTCCCTTCCTGTCTCTCTGCCTCTCCATACCTGCAGCGTGGCCCGGCCGTTCTCCAGCTCTTGGCGGAAGTTCTCCTCAGCGATGTCTCTGGCTCTCTCTTCGGCCTGCAGCCTTCTCTTCAGGGTGTACTGGTCGCAGCGGAATGCCAGGGACAGCTGGGCAAAGGCAGACTACATGGGCACACAAGAGAGGGGCTGTGAAGCCCCGGGCAGCAGGGCCAGGCAGGAACCCTCCCAACCCCACCGACAGTGACCCTGAAACTGAGAAACTGAGCTCATTCAGACCCTGACGCTACGCAAGGTTAGGTTTACCTACTGAAAATGTGTTGTTCTAAAAGTAATCCTGCTCAGCAAGAGAGGAACCGCAGGTTCAGACATGTGCTGTTAGTGCTTGGCTGAAGAGTCATCTGTGGGATTAGTTAGAACCCCACCCCGCACGAGAATAGGCCTGGTTAGTCTTTCCAAAGGCATTGAAGTTCCTGAAGTGGTAATAAAATCTGCCTAAATCTGGCAAAATCTGGTTGATTTGGCCAATCTCCACTTTCCCCAATTGAGATTTAAGCTTGTCTCCATGATAGATGAGTAAACATACATGACCCCTCCCCCCTCCCCCCCTCCAAAAATTCCTAAATACTCCAGTTTCGCATTGAAACAACATCGGAGGAAGAAGAGGAGAATTCCGGAACTCACCTCTGTCTCCTCTTCTGTCAGCTGCATGCTGGGGGAGAGACACAGGACACTGCCGTTATTTTTGAACTCATTTCCAGTAGCCGGGTAAGAAGCACAGTTTATGGTTCTGCGGGATGTGCATGGATATATATGCTGGCACATGCTGGGACAGCAGGATCGCAGGTACCTATTAAGGCCGAGTCGCTCCAGAATGGACTGTTCATCCAAGGAAGTGCCCAGGTCATCAGAATCTGAATCTGAGGGGGTCAAACATAGGGCATCTTCAGGAATAGGACAGTTTGTGTCTCACCGGGCCGCAGAAACTGCAAGGACACTGGTCGCAAGCTCTGGTCACCCTAATATGCTTCTTAAACAAACTGCCAGTTCACTGCCCTAAGGAATCAATAGTGCATTTTGAAAAAAATGCTTCTAAACACATTTAAATAACTCTTAAGTAATCTATTTGTAAGGTCTGGGTAATGTATTTATTAAGATTTTTAACAGTGTAATTGGACATAGATATGTAATACATATATAGTCAAGGTTTGCTGTTGGTGAAGACTCATCAGATACATAAGTGTGCAGAAACTCTGGATAACGCTGCCCCCAGGTGGAGAGACAGCTCTTTCCTCCTCCCGGCTGCTGAAGGAGCGCACACCGTCTGCCGCGCAGTGATTTCAAGGCCGTCGCTCAGTCCTACCTTCCTCACTCTCCCCACTGCCTCTCTCTTTGTCCACGGAGCCACTGGGGCGCTGAGTGAGTCAGACAGGGATACAGTTAGAGAGGAGACACATCCAGTTTCACAGCACAGCTCACTGCTTCAGATCATTGTTGTGGTTTTTAGGGGAGTGGGAAGTCAGGAAGACTAAAGCAAAAAATACTCCTCATACAAGAATAGTATCCTCTATCAGAACAACCACGGGAAAGCGACAATAGGAGTGAAAATTATGTGTTGATTGAGTTTTTTTAGAAGGCACATTTTAACCTTCTTTTATCCAAATCCCTGGACAGGTTTATTTCAGGGCATTTTAATTTATTCTAGCAAAATTGTGGAATACAGGATAGCAGATATTGCAGTGCAGGTTACAGGGGGTTTGTCGCATGACCTGTCTCTTGTCGCATGACCTGTCTCCCTGTCAGATATCGGGGTGTCAGTGTCAGAGCTAGGGTGCACCCTCCAGTGTCTGTTTTCCGTGCCTTCACACTCCGGCTGATCAAGGGTGTGAGTGACAGGATGTCTGTGCTGGAAACTCCTCTGTACTCGGGCTCCTCTTAAGTGCCTTCGGTCTGATTTATTACTGTTCTTTATTTACGCTTCCAAAGAACAGTCTGGAGATTCACATGCATCGGGTTTTGTGTGAAGTTATGAGCACGCTCTTGGCAAACCACTGGGATTCTTATCTTGTTGGGTTACGGTAGGATTCTGGTCTGAATTCATCACGGGATTCCCCCAGCAGGACACTGGCACTCAGGTGGGCACTGCTCACCTGGCCACTCATCGTGCTGATCACCTCCTGGCTTGGGGTGGGGTCCTGCCTGCAGCCTGCTGGAGACACACACAAGGGCTTCAGTCACACATTCTTGTGAAAACCCCAGACATTCAGTCTCGCTCTACCTCCCAGAGTTCAATTCTGGACCATAAAAACAGAGCTTCTCGATGACATCAGCTCTTTTTCTAGTCTTACAGTACTCTGACAAAGGTTCAAAGGGGTTTAAGGGAAAACAGATATTCTCAGGAACAAAATGGAAAGGAAAGATCAATTTGTATCTAGCCTATGTCCTGCTGTTGGATATTGGCATCAGCAAGGCAGGAGGTAAGGCATTGATACTTTGAGACGAAAGCTGTATCACTGTAATATGATGACATGCAGCTCCTTTTGCAGTTTTCAGACACCCTTACATTTGTGAGAACACAGTACTTTAAGTTCTGAAATTGAGATTAGCTTTAAGAAAATATATTTCAGGATTATATTCCATGATTTGACCATAGTTATGCCTTGCTATTGTATACTTTTCCATGTTGTCAATATTTCTCTCTCACTCTTTTCATGCTCCTTTTCCCCAAAATACTTCTCTTCCCTTTCTATGACGGATAATGAGAGTGTCCTTGTGAAACCTGAACTCACCCACATTGTCCTGTCACTGGAGTAACTCTGGAGTCATCTGATAACTCCAGACACAGATGACCAGTGAAACGTGCATTTGTCCAAAATGATATGTGTGGTCTATCGGTTTACGAAAAGAAGATTAAGTCTTGACCTCAGTTGTCTAAGGTGTACTGCAATTTAATCCAGACAAGGTCAAGGAGAGATACCTGTTGTTTCACTGGTGTGATGGACTTCCTGGTCTTTTGCCTGCTGTCTCAGTTGTTTCTTACTGAAAAAGAGAACAGTGTCTGAACACTAAACACAGCAACCTGACTACATACAACTGTAAGTGTTCTCAGAGTGAACCTCGCTGTGTCACTAGTTCCAATTCTAGCTCTACAACTTTTTATCTGTGTACTGTATGTTCTTGTGGCAGTATACTGGATGTACTGATTTCACAATATCCACTGGAGCCTTAACATACATAATGAACCCGTCCCCCCACAAATGGAAAAACTGCCTCTCTCTGCGTTTTCTTTCTTCTCTTTTCAGCATGTAATAAACCTCTTAATTGTTCCTTTGCAGCCTACGCATGCTGACACAGCTACCCACCTGAACTACTTTTTAATTTTTAAAATTTCAGTGAAAACAAACATTCCTTTTCTTTATGATGAACACCAGATTAAGGAGGTAAAGGCTCACCTGGGTAATGAAGTGTTGTTGGTGTCCTGTGTCCCAGGATTCTGCTCATTCCCACTGCCCTGTCCACACAGAGTCAGACAGGGGTTAGAGAACAGACTACCCTCCCCCCTGAGGTGTCATTGACCCTCCCAAGAACACCTCAGGCCCGCTCCACAAAATGGGAGAAAAATTACTCCTTATACTTGAGTTTCAAAGAGCCTGTCCTCTGGACCCCACCCCTGCCCTTGAGTAGGAAAAACCACACTCCCCAAGATCTTAATAGTTTCAAGGGGCCTGTGGGGAACCATGCCAGAGCTGGGCTATCTCCAGCAATAAATAGGGAACGGGTACCTCAATTCCATCCTTCCTGTTTGATTTAGTTAGTACATTAATCAACTAATTGATAAATCAATTTAAATCAGTATATTTCTCATCTTCAAAATTTAACTCTTCCCTCTTCAGGGTGCCCTGCACTCTCTGTTTGGGGTTACCTAGCGGAAAACCATGCTAACATCTTTCTCGGGCTGGAGCGTGTTCACTGGGGTAGACTACAACCTGCTCTCCTCATGAGGCTCGCACCTCCTGACCCCAGACCCAGTCCCACCGAGTGTTTGGATACCTGTGTCCAGTCTGGCCAGGGGTCCCGGCACGGAGGCAGGGAGGAGAGGGAGTGAGAACGCTGGAGCACTGGGGGGGAACGAGGTGGGGAGCCACTCATTCTGCTCCTTGAGAGAGATGGAGACAGAGAGAGGATGTGGCAGAGACAGAAAGAGAGAGGCAGCAAAGCAAAGGAGACAGATAAAGATGAAAGGAGAGAGAGAAGGTAGACAGTGTAGAGTTAACAGTTATGGTGAAGAGAAAATTGAGGGACGGAAGGAAACTGAGATTTAAAGAAGAAAACAACAAAGAACACACAGTACAAACTTGAGGAGATTCAGAAACAAATCGCTCATCAAGTACAATGATTTGCAGCCTGCTAATTTAAGCACATTAGGGAATGAGATACAATACAGAGCATCCCAGTTACAGACAGGAGGAGCTGACTGAGAATGCAATCGGGCAGCCAGGCAAAGAGACGTAACAGTCCTGCGAGCCAACACCCTTACTGCCAGCTCAGAGAGCTAGCCCGATACTGGACAGCACTGGGCTGTACAGCACATAGAACTTCCATTTCTACTCCACTGCCAACCTGTTAAAGTAATGAAGCTGTGGAAGTGAAAGCCGTTCTTTGTGCTCAATTGTTTTGTTAAATGTCCAAAACCTTCTTACTCAAAAGTCAAGCTATTCACACCCATTTCTCATTGCTCCACTCTGAATGACAGCCTGTAAAATATATTTTATCTTTAGTAATTCCTGAGGTTTGGCCTTAAGCAGGTCATTAAAATTTGCAAAAATAAATTTGCCCAGATTATTCATGCAACCAACAGATGTGAAGGAGTAAGGGATGTTTATCGTAGGGAGTTTAACAGTTTCCACCCTCTTTGTTACAGTCTACTACATTTAAAATAAATCAATAATAAAAAAATATTATTAGCGAGAAAGAGCGCACAACGCAAACGTTTACAGTACATACACAATCTCACCCGCGTGCTAGACGAACGAATATTCCAGCCTGCCCCAAATTCATGGCTCCAGCAGAGTACGCCAGGAATGTTATTGTTGTAAAAATAAAACCGCAACTTTTTTTCACAAAGTACATGCACAGAGCGCTTTCGTGCCACATGTAACGATGCCTAATTAGTACATCAATACCACCCCAGCTGAAACAACAGCTGTTAATGCTGAGGAACACTAAATTCAGTAAATATGAGCCTGAAAAAAGTAAATAAAATCTGGGATTACAATGCAATTTTGGCTGCCTTACCTGAATTCCTCACTCTGAGACCTCCACCACCACCTTCAGCCCCCAAAGAGCCCCCAGGAGCCCCAAACTCCTCAGCCTGGCAGAGATACTCTCCGAGCTGAAAGGAGTTTGGGAAATTCCTGGGCTGGAGTGAGGATGGCGAGAGCAATGCGCATGCTGAGGCTACCATGTGTTTACAAGGGTGTCATTGCTTAATGCGATTGAACTTGGTTTTCCTCCCACCTCTTTCTTTCTCAGTATTTCTCTCTCAGTCTTTTCATGCTCCCTGTCCCAAAAGTCTTCCTCTTTTTCCTAACCTCCCTTTATCCCTGTCACTCCTCTCCCCCCCAGCTCCCCCTCTGGCTTTCTCTCTCTCCTCTTCATCTTTGCCCCCTCTCTCTCTCTGAGGCAGCTGTTTACTCTGCTCTTTTCTCCCACTGCCTGGCTTTTCTCTCACTAATGTATACAAGGCCCTGCTGCTGTTGACAGCACCTGTATTCCCATAAAGCTGCCCAAACTATCAGGAGGAGAGGGAGGTGGGCGGACTTGTGAATGACCCCCTGCCTCCCTTCCCCCAACACCCACGTACACACCGCAGAAGGAAAGAGAAAGATGCAGCTCAAGACTAACAGAAACTTATGCTGATGCATATGGTGCTTATATAGGTGATGTATTTCACTAGCTGGAGCTTCCAAGCCACTCACACCAATAGGACAACAGGGAAAATGCTCCCAGGGACAACAGCAGAACACACTGAGGCTGGTAGCGTGCATGAAAGGACATTGGACACAGCACCATCCACTGCTGCTGTCCACATTCTCCACTATCCCCCTGTGCAGCTTTAACAAAGCAGCTGTTGGAACAGGTCAACAAAATTTAGAAGACAGGTCACTATTCATTGTTTGTTTAGTGCCCAGCCCATGAACAAGCAGACAAACAGAAAACATGGTGGTCTTTCTGCCTGGGCAGAGCTCTCACACAATTTGAAACCAATATTAGGATGAATGTCATCTGAAAAGGCGAAGTGTGAGCTCTTCCAGAGGGAAGAGGATGGGCTGTGGCACCACTGGTTGAAACAAGATGTGAGCAGAACTATGGGAAAGGGCAAAGGTCAAACTGCTTAAGGCTTATCCCTAACACGATGACTGATCCATCTTCCAGAATGGGTTTTACAGAGCTCAGTGTGGACTTGTCAAAGGCGTCACTACTCGAACTGTATGGCATTGAAGATGCTGCTTGAATATTGTACTCAAAAGTGCTTTTTAAAGGAGCAAAGTGGTGTTTGTTTCTTCGAGTTGGTGAGATTCCTTTCAAAACCTAGAGACTTGTCTAGCACTGACTTCAAGACTTTATGGATTATGGGACAAACCAGGATTTGAAAGAGACCTGAGTTAAATTATTCTACAAAGAATCTAGTTTTCAGAGCCTGTCTTGTCCATAAAAAAATGGTTTCTACCTTGCAACAAAACACAGCTGCTCACTTCTTTAACCACACTGAACAATTTCAAGCTCATTTTATACAAAAGGTATAATTAATTCCCCTCAAATTAATTCCCCTCAGATCCCCAATTCTTTCAAAGTTCAATTGGAACATCCCAAGTTCTGATTCGCAGCAGCTGATCGAGAACCTGACAAACATGTCCCATTCTCCCATGCATCAGAACCTTAGATCACAAATTCCTAAGCCAGTTCTCAAGTCTGGGCATAACAGCCCTTAATTCTTACAGTAATGCATCTAGACTACCTGTGGCTGTTCTGGTTCCGAAAACCACCAATTCTTCCATTTGTAGCAAAGAATGTGTCTTTTGCAAGACCAAGTAAAACTTCTCTGCCTTATGTCCTTCAGAACTGCAAACCCACAAGCAAACATTAAAAGATCTGCTTACCTTATGATCCCTCATGACTGCTTCACTCATCTCTCCCCATCCTGACTACTGAGGAGCACAGCAAGAAGCAGGTTAATCCCATCAGAGAGAAGCCTGCAGATTCCCAGTGACAAGCGGGCTGCTTTTACAGAAGACGCCAGGCAAAATAAAACAGCTCAAGGAGACTAAGGGTAGAACCTGCAGCCTCAAGACACGCTGACATAGTATAAACAGGCCTCTTGCATAAGGTTGTGGGGGTAATGACATTGAATTAAAAGCTCACATTAATTGTGGGAGGACTATAAACCCTGCTAGGCTTGTAGGATGGCCATTCAAAGACATGGTTACTCATGTTATAAGAACCGAAAAGCTATTGCCAAGCACGAAGCTCACAGGAAGTCCTTAAGACATGCTGAAAACCAAACTTAAAGCACAAGAAGGAAAAATGTTTCAACTGCCCCCCGTAACCATCTCATATGCCAAGTTTCGGATACCAGGCCACAAACGTCAGCGTAAGAAGGGAAGATTTACTGGGCCAGTTGCCAACACTGAGGTTTGACTGCCACTTGCTTGACTCTCCTAATCCTCTAGCTGGAGCTGTGTATTTTTAGAGCTCACCACAGCTCTCAGCAGGGTTTACACTACCACACTGGACTCCCATCAGCCTCCTCTGCCAACTTACTTCAGACTGAAGACTAATCAGTCTGGCAAGATCCCCTGTGGTTGGCTAGCTTGGTTTCCCAATACACCAATCACATCTCAGCTTTGAGCCTTTTTTTAATGCTTGGCAAACACCAATTCATCTCCCCACTCCTGCCAAGCATCATGTTCATTCATCAACATAAACCTTACCTCTCCACATCTGCCACACCAGCACCATGTTAAATACATATTTTACACTGAGTGATTGTAATACACACATTCAAGTACCCAAACACAGCTCAGAATCTTTATCAGACCCTTTTCCATCTTTTAGGAATCTTGCTTTCTGATAAAGCCATTTTCACAGGACTCTTGTTATATCAAGTGCTCATGACAGACCTCTCCACTCCAAGGTTTGCCATTTAAAGCTTCTAATTGTCTGCTGCAGTTCAAATAAAGAAAACCCACCCACTTCAATGAGGATCAGTTAATAACACTCTAAAGTACTCAGTGTACAAAGTGATGATTAGGATCAGGCACATGAACAGTGTGCTCTATTTAGAATTAATACTACTGCAATAATTATGTGCTGAATCACACCTTAGGTGGAACCTTTACCAAAAACAATTGCTCATGGAATAAACAGACACGAGAGCAGAAGGCTTCTTTCCCAAAGATTTATTTGTACAAAAAGGGATGCTGTCTAGTAGAGGCGCTGGGGCTTGCCCATGGTGCTCTTGATGTAGAGCGCGCGCACGTTCTGCCAGTTCTTCTTCAGCAGCGATACCAAGAAGTTGATGGCTAGGTGGATGTTGTAGACCAGCTCTTCTTCGGTCATCTTGACATGACCCACGGCAACAGCCAGACACAGCACCTGGAGAGGAAAAGCCATTACTGGAGAAGGGCAGGCAGCACCCACTCACCGCCCAAACACCCCCAATTTTACCCCTAGTCGCCAGTTCAGAGGTTCGTGAGTCAGAAGAGTTTAGCCTGAGCAAAACCATTCCACACAACCTTTCACTTGGCTGGTTTGAGATTGGGAGCTACAGTTTAAGATGCTTTACACATGAACTAGCATAAATTACTTCATCCTGATCATGTAGTATTTATGTCTATATGTTAACCAAAAGCACCGCACGCACTATGGTGTCATTTTTCCAAACGGCACAATCTGAAAAGACTGTGAGAATGCATCAATGACTTAATGTCTAGAAAAACTAGTAGCCCTTACCTTCTTCATCTGGAACTTGATGGTGGATTTGACCTCATCCACCTTGGTGTTCAGATTCTCGTTGTGGGTGAGCAGGGAGGGGAACTTGCCAGCCTTGTTCAGCCCCGGCCCCAGGATTCGGGGAATCTGCTTGATCAGGGACTCGGAAGCCAGGAAAGCATCGTACTTCTTAGCTGTGTTGGGAGGGGACAGGGGATACTGAGTTAATCTGCAGCAAGTGAACAACACTTTGAACTCAAAGACAAGAAAAGACTGAGAACTGCCATAATCTTAGGCAGAACAATGTATGATGAAGTGGATTTCACAGCTTTACACACATTGCCTTTAAGTTAAAACCCATGGAGCTTTTGCAGAAGGACTTAAATATCTCAGAAGACATAAAAGCCTCCTCTACGTATGAGACCTCTTGCAGATGTCAGGTCATTATATAGCACAGTGGTTCTCAAACTGTGGTACGAGTACCAGCAGTGGTACGCAGAGCGCTGCCAGCTGGTACGCCATATGATCTATAGAACTTTGTTGTGTGCGCTGAAAAATTGGGACGGTTTTCACATTTTCTATTTTAAAACGTGTCGAATACGCAGCCTACGTACTGCGATACAGTGTGCGCTAATACTTGAGTGGTCACAAGAGATTACTCTGTAATTCTATACCACTCTATAGGAATGCGTGCTACGGACGAAGTGACCAATTGTATTTAAAAAAAAAACTATCTCCAGCAAATAGGGAGGTAGGAGAATATGCGTGATTTTGGAACAATGCCAATGTTGTAAACACAGGAATGCATAGAAATCCGTGCTACTAACACTTGTAATCTTGTGAGCACAGGAAAGCGTGATAGATAACAGAAAAATATTTAAGAACTGTTCGAAGTTAATTTGAGAAAAATACACAGAGCGTCTCTGCGTTTCATTCCCATGCGCACGAAATAAAAATTTAAAATACAGAAATAAAAACGGAAACGGGGAAAAATGCAAGCTTGCGGATTGCTAAAGCAGGTAAGCTCCACACTATTTTTGAAGAACCTTATTTACTGGTGGCAAAAGAGCTGACACGTATTATGTGTGGAGAAAGGCTTCTAAACAGCTCGACCTGCTGCCCCCCTGAAAGACACGGTCATTCATAGAATTATTGAAATTATATCAAAAGTACGCTGATAGAGCGCATTAAGATGAGCAGATGTTTTTCACTGCAATTAGCCGAGTCTATAGTCAATTTGGGCAATTTACTCGTTTACTTTAGATACGAGTTTGAGGGTATGTCCCGTGAGGACTTTCTGTAATGTAAGCCGCTACCAACAGGAACTACAGAAGAGTACATATTTCAACTTCTGAATTAATTTTTCCAAAGAGAATGGCATCGACTGGATAAAATGTGTCGGAGTTTGTACAGATGGTGCTAGAGCGATGACAAGCCGACATGGCGGTGTAGTTGCACGAATCAAAGAGGTTGCTCCAAAAATTAATGGACGCATTGCAACATTCGCCACGAGAGCTATGACATCAAGAAAATGCCTGATGATTTAAAATCTGTTAGACTCTGTTGTGAATTGTATCAAGGCTCAAAAAATGAATTCACATCTGCTTTGCTCGTCTAAACAGGCTCACCCCTATCACTGAAATGGTGCTTTTTTATTATTTTTATTTGTTGTTGTTACTGTTTTTTTCTGTAAAACGCTTTGAGAAGCCACATTTAAAGGCGCCATATTAAAGTTTATTATTATAATATTTATTATATGTATGTGTGAGTGTGTGCACGCACACTCATGTTGGTCATTGAGAATTTCTGGGGTTCCTATGAGATGAAGACTTGTAGGTGGTACTTGGATGCTTTGTTTGGATTAGGGGTGGTACTTGGTCCAAAAAGTTTGAGAACCACTGATATAGCACATGAGTCTTTTTAGCCTTGAAGAGCAGCACTGCTCTGTCACAGTCTGCCCACTCACCCAGTTTCTTGACCATCTTCTTGTTCTTGTTGAGCTTCTTCAGAGCCTCGATGTCCATGTGGGGGAACTCTGCAGCCTTGGCCTCATCGCAGTGCTGCTGGTCTCCTAGGACGCAGACGGAGAACTTGGGCCGGGGGGTGGTCTTCAGCCTATGAAGCACAGAAAAGGATCACACTTCCTGTTAACACCCACGAGAATGGGAGATCCCCACCTCACCCCCTCTCCCTTCCCATCCCACCCAGGTGGGCAAAGCCAAAACAGAAACGCCTTACCCCAGATACAGCTGGCTTCTCGTCACAACTCATCCACCAGCAACACCATTTCATTTACAAAATGGCCGGCGGGGGGGGATCGGCTGAGATTGCCTTCCCCCCTCGCCTCCCCTCACATTTTAAGACCCAGGGTGGGGGTCCGTCCGACACCTCCCAGCCCAGAGCAGGAGGGGGACAAGTCGGACTACCCAGGACTCTTCAGCGCCGCCCGCGGCCCCCGTTGCTGTCCAGCAGGCCGAGGGAGCAGGCAGGCTGAAGGCCGGGTGGAACAGGAAAGGGCCGAACCTGACGGTGCCAGAGAAACGCTTGTCCTTCTGAGGGTCATAGTTCTTCAAGCTGATCTGGAGCTCCACCGTTTCCAAGAACCTTCGGACAGAGAAATCACCTGTTACCACACAGAAGAATCACACCGCAGTTCTTCCCAAACCCCTTTACAAGTTACACCTCCTGAACTGACCTACGCCATTGTCATTGCACTACCACTTGGCCCAGTGCCCAGCAGGCTTTATAGAGCTTTTTAAAAACAAACACTTCAATTGTCCATTTACATAAATTAGTTCAACTGGGCAACTGAGGGCTCCAGTAGGGGGAAAAAAAAACAGAAACCATCTGTCTCCCTAAGGCCTGAAGCTGTGCTCCCCAGTTATACAGTATATAAACAGGCTGCAATAAATTTCATTAACAAAGTCATTAAAATAATCGGAAGAACATATTAAAGAGAAAAGGGCAAACTTCGAGTTCTTTTCAAAAGAAACTTAATTCATAACTGGACAGCTTTAAAATGAAAATAGGATTATACGAGTTAAGACTATAGGTCTTAATTCTTAATAACAGATCAAAATAGTTAACCCTTGGAGAAACACTGAACTCAAAGATCACCTACTACATGAGTGTCTTAAATATCTTCCTTTAGGACAGACTGAATTCCTAACATTCATGTTAAAAGTGCCCTCAATTGCAACGCCCTCGCCCCAAACCAGCCCCAGGTCCCTGTGGGTATAAGAGCAGCACCCGACTCAGGGCCAGGAACAGCGGGAAGGGTGGCATCTACGGCCCAGAGGAGCGCGAGAGGGAAGGATTCTTACTTGCGTCTCTTCTGCTTGGAGCCCAGCTGAACCTCGCGCACAGCCTCGTACAGGGTGTCCCTGGAAACCTTGCTGTGGGAAGAACAACACTCAGGTCAGCCCCACACACACCCCACTCTCATTCCGATGACAGCAAGGCTACACGGACACGACCTTCTTCCACAGGTGACATGCCAGCCAGTATCCTAGTCTCACTGCACTGGAACCAGGACATCAGCTGCAAGATCACACCAGGGGGATATTTCAACTTCTCTGTCCAAGGATTCACCCTAAAACTACACTCTCAGGTCAGCCTCGGTTCGTTCACACCAACGGCAAGACCATGGCCTCTGACGAAGTGGGCTTTTTTCATTAGCATACTAGATTTAAGAAAAACCCTGCGGCCAATACTCAGTGCATTAACAAAATAAAAAATAAAAAACACCCACACTGTCTGGGTCGGGAGTTTAGCTTAAACAATGTGCTTTGCAGTGCCGTGGGCCCATGGGCCATCTATAGAGAGCCGAGAGCTTATGAAGGTCCTCGTAGCAGGGCATAAAAACGAGATAGTGCACTTTAACTCTTCGGGTTTATGATATCAAGTCGGCGTGTAGTACACAATTTCACTGTACCGTGTACTATGGCGGTCAAAAACCATAAAGGTGTTTAGGCCGCCACCATCCCAAACACACGTTCTAAAGTTTAAAATATTGCATCCAACATACTGGCCAGTCTTCCACACAACCATCCACTGGGTATTTTCACCATTTTAACGCGTATCTAGATGTGGATTACAGCAGATTTAATTCAAACTGCGGGCCGCATCGTACAATGCCAAGAGATTGCTGATGACACCTTGCTCCTCGTAAGCAAGTTTTTAAAAGCAACTAGGACGGTTCTGCCGAACAAGAGAAGAGTGCTACTACTTTTAATCTATAAATATTCCTATTATGTAAAAAGCGATCACAGTTCCCAAAAGCTGCATAACAAATATTTTTTACTCACCTCATTTTGACTACACGTCTATCTCCGCACTGAGCTGGAAAAGGAAGGACCCACCGTCACTTCCGCTATAAGTACCGAGACACACGCGAGGCCCATAAGCTAAGCCCGGAAGTGGAGTTCGCTAGCGGCCATATTGGTGGTGGCACAAGTAATTCAAAACACACACCGCCTTTCAAAATCTCACACTTCACACTCGGCACAACGACAAATTGGCTAACATTTAACCAAAAACCCAACGATGTATTTAATAAAGAAAATAGTACAATATTACTTTGTCATCCGGAAATCTTTCCTAGATAATTCCACAAACACAACAAATAAAATCAAAACATTTTAATACACAATTTTACCTTTATTTTTTACAGGTTACAAAATGAAAAAGTGCTCTTCTGAAAACCGCAATAAACCCTGCTTGCTGTCCTCAGGCTCCACTGCAGTTGTCCAGTCCTTGTTCAGTTCTTATTTCTTGAATAAGCAGAGAGGATCCACTCTGTCAGCACACTGATGCACTACAGTATGTTGGCTGGAGTGGTATAGAGCTGTGGTAAACTTCACTTCTGATGAGAAAGCTGTAAGCTGCATATTAACACAACCTTGTCATCGATTTAAACAAATGCCTCGAGTCCTGTTTCATATCTCCGTAAGAAACACACTTATCAACGGAGGTGCCCAGGGATCTTGTCAATGAAGAAAGGGCTAAGTGCAATGGAGTCACCCCGGGCTGATCCGCTTGAGAGCAGCCTGCAAAGACTTCTTCAGAAAGGTCTCGTTCAGCGCCAGGCAGTGCGCCATCGTGCTCTTGTGTGTCACAGCTACCTACAAAAACATATGAATGTGTTAGAGGAACAACAACAGCTATAGAACACAAAGAAAGAGCCAATTTGAGTGGTCTTGTGACAATATAATAGATCTACAAACATAACAGTAATTAAACTTACAGTCACATTTCAAGCTCAGATATGCCATTATTTTAAAAAAAGCAAAATGAGAAGGAGCAATTAGATTTATTAGCTATAATAAGGATACATTGTATTTCCAGAGCTCCTTTTCATACAGTAAATGGTATTTTTCTCTGATATATTTGTAACTAAAAACAAATGGTTAGTTTTAAGTTATGCGTATACTATTACAGAAAATTGGCTGCATTGTGTTGCGCTGCCTTTAACACATTTTACAGCTTCCTCTTTCCCTTTGTGATTATGTGTGCTGTGCACTCACATGGCTCTGGTACTTTGTCAGGAAAGCCAGCATCATCTTGGCAAATTTCATGGACTTGCTGAAGAGGGCAGCCTGCTGATTCAGCTTCTCAATGAATCGGTCAAACATCTCTCCACTCAGCTCCATCTACATGGCAACAAAGACCAATGCTCAACTCATGCAACAGATACACTATATGTGTGTGTGCGCGCGCGTTCACAAAGCTGTCTTATTGCACCAGCCCTTGCCCGTAGAGAAATAACAGAACAGAAAAAAGTGTGAAGACAAGAGGAAGCCATTTAGCACAATTGGTTAAGTCGCTAATTGTCCCAAGAATCTTATCCTACCACTTCATGTTCATTAGTCCCACAACCCTCTGGGTGAAGAAATGCATATTATTCTTGCTATTAAATGCAATTCCAATTTAAGTGGTAAAGTTCAGACTTTAAAAACAGACACCACCTAATGGATTAAGTAAATATATTTTTAATTTAAAAATATATTTATATATATTTATATTTATATTTATAATATATTTATTTTTAATTAAAAAAAAACTAGGCAGCTGTCTAATGCTCATGACACTTTGAAGTCCCTTTTATCAGAAAAAACAGCATTTTAGCTATTGACAACCTGTTTTGTCAACCTGACAAGCTGTTTTGTATTGGAAGAAATTCAATTTTAGAGCCCATCTACCACGTCTTTTGCTGTCCCTTTGGTGAAACATTTTTTGTCCTTTCTCAATCTGGTTCTTTTTCTCTCTAGAGAAATTTAATTTTTTAAACTTTGTGAGAAAACAGGAATCTAGACTTCTCTTCCTATACATCACCACAGTTGTTAAGCAATAAATGAGAGAGCAGAAGGTGAAAAATGGCAAGGGCAAAGTGGACTGTCCTCTCCTTACCTTGGTTTCCAGTAAGGCATGGATGACCAAGAGCACATCTTCACTCCAGGGCACAGTGAGTGTTTGCCTGGGCACACAAAACCCTGCATGAGACATTCATGTGCATTCCGACAACAACACTGCACGCCTGCAGCGTTCACACTTACATGAACCCCTGCAATCGACACATTACAGAGCAAATCAAAATACACAACTCTGACTGGCACACTTACTCAAAGACCAGGACTTGATACTGCTGCTCCAGGCTGTCTTCTAGCAGTCTGCACAACAGCTCCATCTGAGCACTTCCTTCATGAGCATGAAACACAAGCAACAGCAGCAAAAGATGTCACCTGCTAGGAGGATACTGCGGCTCTAGAGGCAGTGCAAAACGACATATTTCTGACCTGAAGGGAATGTCACACTCAGAACAGCTAAGGAGAACTTAATCACTGTTACCTAAAACACAGATAACACGGACACGTGATATAGGTATTCAAAAAGCAGGAATGGTATTGATTACATCAACTCGGCGGACTCCTTCATGATCAGAAGCAATAATCTTGGGGATTGTAACACAGTTAGATAGAAGTTCATCTTTACAAAGAAGATGGCGGCAGTCTGTAACCAGCTGCCAAATCATATGGTTGAAGCTGACTCTGTGTGATCCGTGAATGCCCACTTCTTGTTTGGAGAGAAACTGAAAGCTCTAAAGAACAGAACTAATCTTTTTAGAGACTAGCTTCTGTAGGGTAATGAATAAGATTCTTATGAAGCCCGATCTAAAGGTTTTGGTTTAAATGTATTGACTACAAGCTACAGTAAGCTCTTAGTTTTAACAGAAGAACACCCCCAAGCAGTGGAGAATAAGCATTCCTGCAGGAAAGGGTCTTACATACCAGCCTGCTCTGCCTGTAGGAGCGGGCCAATCAGAGCACAGCAGGAAGGCCGGGGATAGCGGCTGCAGAAGGATGTCACTGCGGTCACGAGAAAGCGTGAGGCGGGCTCTGATAAGGACAGGATCTGTGAAGGTCAGGAGGTAAACCTGAAACAGTTTGCAACAGATAGGACAGCTATCTCTCACTGAGCCCCTTTCAGAATATGGCCACATTCTTTCATTACCATGATCTCCGATGCATCTTGGGTTATTATGGCAACATTTCTGCAGTTAATGAACTACCATTAATCTTCCAGCGAGCAACATTTTGTTTTTCAGGGTTATACCGAAACACACCACTAAATATGCAGGACCTTGGCTGTTAGAAGACTTCTTATAAGCCCCCTGCCTGTGTCTAGCTGCTCTCCCAATGACCAATCAGACTGTGTGCCAGTGACCCGGCGTGGGGCGTACCCTGCTGAGGAACAAGTGCCTGGCCAGGGTGGCAGCGGTGCTGTAGCTGAGGTCCGGGGACAGCTCCAGCAGGCGGGTACAGAACTGAGGCAGGACTTGCTCAGGCACCTCTGACAAATGCAGTTCTCTGCAAAGCAGCTCCACCTGCAGTGAGGGAAGACACCAGACCCATGTCTGATCACTGTACCAAGCAAGGACCCTAAATACAGGAACACAAAGTCACCACCTGGACTCCAGTCTGGTGTAGTGATGCAATATTCTTCATGGGAGATTGTCATCTGAAGCCCCCAAGACTTACACATCAGTGTGATTAAAGATTGCCATTTTTATTTTGGAAATTAGCTTTGACGCAGGCTGTTAATTGGGCTAATCCTGCATTTTCAGGGGTCAAAGGATCAACCTGGATTGTCATTGTTTTCACTAATTTTATCATAAGACAACTAGCATTATTAATAATAATTACTTGGTTGCATGTGTATAGCAGTTTCCATCCCAAATAAGTCTGCCCTGCTGAGCTTCTCAGATCTTACAGGATCAGGCTGTAATGCTGCTGCCTAGAATCAGACCTCTGGTAGAATGAGTGGTGGTATTCTGTACCTCCTAAGGAAGTGCTTTTGACTGCAATCTCCCCAGAGCTTTCAGTGACTCACTCTCACTCACCTCCCCTGGATTACAGTCGTTCAGCACCTGCAGGGCAGTAGGGGAGTCCAGCTCACACCTCTGGGGACAAAAACAAACACACACCTCCCTCAGGACTTTCTAACAGCGAGACCTTTTCACATGAGAAAACAGAAACAGTTTTGTTGCATAGGTTTGCAAACAAAGACAAATTCTATACTCACTTCTGTCTCAATTTCCAACAGCTCTTTAATGCTTGGAACAAAAGCCTGAAAACAAGAACACAGCATCAGAACTAAGCACACAAGGAGATCAAACAGACAAAGTTAGTCTTGAACACAGAATAACACATAGGGACCTGATCCAAATATTTGAAATCCTCAAAGATGCAGACAAAGTACATGCAGCAGACTTCTTTCGAACACACAATGAGAAATCTAGCAGACAACACAAGTAGAAACTATGTGGCAATGCACTTAAAACCAGGTACAGGAGTCACTCCTTTACCCAAAGGGGAAGATACCCAGCCATGTTGTGTTGTTAAAGGTGATACCATGCCTTCCTTCAAGAAATGTCTGGATGAGACCCTTATATTAGTTATCTATTAACTACCGGTTGGGCCAGATCCTGTCGTTTGGAACCTTTCTTATAAAATCTGGAGAAAAAATATTCTGAAAATGAGGTCATTCATCTCCACATAATGAGGAGTGTTCCTCGTCCTCCGTGTGTGCTCTGTCCAGGGTGCACAGTGGGCACATTGGTATAAACCTTGGGAGTACCCACAGGAAACGAGTATCTTCCTGTTTTTCTGTTATTCTAAAAAGAGATATTCTCAGTTCATGTTTCTATTCTCTTTCTATTCTAATTCAGTGTTTGGGGAAATAATTTGTTCACAAAAAAAGCACTGGATTCCAGTCCTCAAAGGCCAAAGGCTTGAGATTTGGCAGGGGTTTGAGATCAAGCCTGGCTCTTACCCGGAGGTGGCTGGGCAGCACCACAGCACTGGCATCCTCTGGGCCTGTGGAGTCAGGACCGCGGGCCGGCTCCACAGCAGCGCCTGCACGACCTGGTTCTGCATCGTGTGGCACGAAAGCTTCACCCAAACCAGGCTTCTCAGTCAGAGCCGAGCCATCCTCTGAGCTGTGCCCTCTTGGCTGTTCACAAGCCTCCTGTGCCTCTGGGCAGACTAGCCTCAGCTTCTTGCTCTGGCTGCCACTCTCTTCGCAATCCGAGCCCCCTTGACTCAGCCCTGCACTCTCACTCTTTCTCTTTTTCTGATTCTCTGGGTGCAGGGTCTCCATCCCAGCGCTTGGGGGCTGTCTCACCTCCTTCCCCCTGAACCATGCAGGCCACTGCTCTGCAGCTGCCCCGCTGGTGTCCCCAGAGCTACCCCCTGCCAGCCTCTTACACAGCAGAGTCAGCCCCTCCTGGCACTCGGAGGAGAGGTGGATGGACATGGCCGCATGGGGGTCCTCCAACTGCAGGACCCGGCGGAGGTGGCTGAGCAGCGCCTGAACCCAGGGGTCAGCGCTGGGCTCCTGGCTGAGGCAGTGTAGCAATCGCAGCAGGCATGGTCTAGGCAGCACAGTGTGGGTGAGGAGGAGGAAGGACAGGAGATTGCGCTGGAAGAGAACAGGAAACAGGCACACCAGCGGCTTCCTGGGACGAGGAGGATAAAGAAAACAGAGGTCAGAGTTGAAAATCTGGCAGGACTCCAGATTAGGGGAATCCCCTGCCCTTACTATTACATGATTATTACAAATTACTCTTAAGCCTGAAAGCACTGCTCTGTTTGGGAATTTTTAGCAACTTTTACTAAAATTAAACTCGTGTGAATCCTGTATTTCTTTTCAAGCCAGAAAATACATTTCAGAGGTCCTCTGCTTCCTTAAAGGATATGAGGACCTTCTGTAAAATGTTTGAATTCTTGCATTTTCTGTTTCCATGCAGTATACATCTACATTGTTGATATTTGCTGAAAAGATTTAAGTAGTTCCAGGTTACAGGACCTCCTCTGGTTTCAGCCCACTCTGATGAGTCCCAGACAAATCAAATATTAATGTGGAAATTAGTGATATATTCCAAGCGTGTTAACTATGTTCTGATCACGTTTTCTAGGCCAGGTGAGGCACAACCATGTACCTCAAGAGGCGAGTAGTCTGTTCTGGCTGCTTACATTAACCCTGATTCCAGCTTTCTAATTTGACTGACTGGAATACATTAACTACTCGATTCAGGCTTCTGAATTACAGTACATGTCAGGGGTGACCAACCCTGGTCCTGGACAGCCACAGGCCAGCAAAGTTTATGGATCATCATTAAATTATCAATTTCTACACACCTGGAACAGTTTAATTTTGACTACTGCACAGGTGAGCTGCTCAAATGCAGAGTTCATCGATCTTTTGAAAAGAAAACAGCTGTCCAGAGCAGGCCATCCCTACTGGTGTAAACAACGATTTTTTTTTAATACAATACACTCTTGTATATTAAAAAAACACGTGCAAACTACCAAGAACAGTAACATAAGATTTATTTATATGTTTGAGATACTTACACTGCCAAGCAGTTTCCATCCAAATAAGCTTCGTCTTTGACCAGCGATTCCATCCAAGTGTGTAGCCCCTCTGTGTCAGAGCTCCGCTGGCGCCGGTACACCTGCATCGCCCGCCGGGCTCCGCAAAAGCCCAGTGAAAGCGCCTGCAGGAGCAGCCGGGAGCGACCGTCAAAGCGCTTCAGCACACTTTCCAGGTCCATTGAGACCAAAGCTCACGGGCACGTATATCTCCTCTTAGAAACTGAGCGTTTTTCTGAAAGTAGTACGAAAAATAACCATTAATGTCAATAACCAAACAGAATGACAACGTTATACTTAGCTAAGCAGCCTGCATGTTTATGTACAGTACAATGTTCTAACCAGGAATAAAGCGGTACTACTAATACAATCCGTCATCGAAATGTATTTCAAATAAACTTAGCTGTGGCACTTTATAGTCATTTGATATTCGTTTTCCGTAATAGCTTCTACACTGTCTTTAAATAAAACCGCTCCAGTGCGCTATATTTCAAATCCCTGTGCCTTCCAGATATATTTGAAATATCGCACCTTCCCGGGTTCGTTCACTTTGACACGGAAATGACGTCAGTTACCATAGAGTCAAGAAAGAACCTCGCGTGTTTGCATACACTTAATATTTTGAGAATTTGTGGTATCTTCGAGGAAGATTTTCGTGCGCCGTCCTGGTCAATAATAATCCTATGGTTGACAGTTCTATAATCAATGCAAACTTGGTGATGTGACGTTTATCTAGCTCCAAAAGCTATTAAACTACTCCCCAGCCCCTAATCTGGGGAGTAGTTTACTTGATTTACTTACAGTAGCTTGGAAAACAAAAATCAAGACATACGTTATGCAAGTTTCTCTTATTTGAATGTTTCTACCCGTTATTTAATTTTTAAAACAAATAACTTAAAAGCAGCCATTGATCTTGGGAAAGAAAAACTGGTCACATTCCAAAATGTTAAAAGCTCAAAACAAAAGCATACCTAAACTAATTCCAAGTCAATGCAATGATTTACTGTAGATGGTTAAACGGGTATTAAGAAACAATATTAGCAAGAAAGTATTCTGCTGTCTGTATAAAGTAGCCCAACATTGAAAGGAAGAGTACACTTGCCTACAAGTACAGCAGAAAAACACTAAGAAACAGGAATCCAAAAAATATTGCAACAAAAAAAAACTTTTGTAGTTCTAACAAACTAGGGTATGTTTAAGTGGTTTCATAAATAAGAGATTAAACTTTTACATTAGATACAATACACCTACATTACCAAGAGCTCTACTTGATAACCCATTTAGATATCCAGAAATCCTTTGGCAATGTTCCCCAAAGTAACAGACCTGAATCAGGACCCTGGTCAAACAGAAACCTGCATTATCCACAAACCTAAGAATGGAATAACCCCTTGTGTTTTATGCCCAAAGCTTTTTATCAGCTTGTGAACAATACTGGCAAATTGCATTTGTAAACAGAGGGGAGTGGTAAACTCCAACATGGGCATTATAAAACAATAACAGATTAAGCCAATATGCTAAACTTAACATACTTAATCAAATTGATGGGTATAGTGATCCACAGTTTATAGCAGCATAAATAAAATCACACATAGGGTAGACATCCTCCAGAATGTATTTTATTCAATTCACCAGTTAAAATAGGACAAAGCACAGAACACTGTGCTTAAATCTTAAGGTTACCATGACTGGAAGTTGAGTTTCCAAAAATTTGCTTTCCATCAAGTCTCTAGATTTCCAAAATCTGTCAATCTCAGAGGGCCTCAGGTCACACTGAAGCCAAGATGGCCTACATGTTCTCAGACAAAATAATCATATGTACCTTTTATTAGATAAAGCAAAGTTTCATAGACTTTGCATTTTATTAGTAAGCTGCAAGTTGCAGTTTAACCACAAACTGGAATCCAAGGTGAAGCCAGCTTCAGTAAATCAAGGAAGCCATAGAAGTAAAACAGACTCAGGAGTTGTGAAACATGTTTTATTCTTTTTTTTGGTGAATACAATCATATAAAAAGTTATAAAAGTCTAGTAGACCCTCAATCTGTACAGTAAGCCTGCCACATTAACACTGCATTAAGTTAAAGACCTCAGAATGCCTGCCGATTCAGAACACTGCTTTCATACAGAGTGAGGGAGAGCTAGTGGAAACCGTATCAGACACTGAAGCTTAAACCAGCAGCATGGAAGAGGAAAAGGAACTGGAAAAGGGCAAGCTGAACAGCTTAAACTTCACCCGTCTAGGCAGAATTACATAAAAAAAAAACTATGCCCCACTCAATTAACTTTTAAAACTCACTTTCACACATTACACAGCTTCCTGAACAAAGACTTTACAATTTTCTCAGATGAGTCCAAACCAAAAAGAAAGGGGTGGGTGGGGGTTTTATCCAGTGCCAGGCTCAGCTCAATACTGCAGACAACTCTAGTGACTGTGTCATGACAAAGCACAGACAAGCATGCATTTTTTTTTTTAAACAAGGTGATAAAGCAATAGGATTAATAATTTGACATTTTTCCCCAACATTTTGAACAAATTTAACTACAAGTCATCCAAATGTCACAGCAGCTTTGAGTAACGTAGCATCTCCTCCCTGTTGCCTCCAGGAGAATGTTAGTCCAGTTTACAAGAGTACACAGGGCGTAAACCTGCTACAAAAAAACCCATATCCAAAGGCAGCCCATAGATTGCTATAGACTCCAGTAAGCCTTGGCAATTGAAAGATTAACAGAATAGCAATAAGGAGGCAAATAAAAATTGGACTAAAGTTAAAAAACAGGACTGTGAACATTAAAAAAATTGGAGTCATTCAGTTATGAAAATGGGAATCAAGACAAAGAAATTCAGCCAAGGTTACTTTTATATAGACGGCTACACCATCAGGTAGCTAAATAAAGAGACTTGAATTGCTACCATGAATGGAGCACATGACAGCCTTGGCTACTAGGCCTGGGATTTCATACTGCTCTGTGCCCCTGCAGGCACAATGGGGCTACTTCCTCCTGGCTCAGTAGAGGTCTGGACCATCCAGGAGTAGAGAGAAGTAGTCATCCAGAAACTCTTCATCCTCGTCATTGTCCAGTAGGGCCAGAGTAATGACGTACTGCAGGAGGTGCATACTGTCACTGTCCGCATCCTCCAGGTTCACCTGGTAGGGCTAAGAAAAAGCACTTGAAAGCTTTTTTCCCCCCCCCACAAGGGTGAATGGTCAACCAAAGGTTTTACATGAGGAGCATCTGGCTCATTCAGATTGTCTGGATGAATGCCCCAATCAACCCAAGGATCTCCTATGGCCATTTCTTGAAAGAGCTCAAGCTCACAGCCTGGGCATGGCTGGTAACTAGATCTGAACTTGCAGCCTTTAGAGCAGGGGGTTTTAAAGTTTAAGCCCCACACCCCCACCAAAACAAAAATGGTATTTAATTCAAATTGTGCTTCTAGGTTAATGGAGTGCTTTGTAAACATTACATCTAGAAAGCAACATTAGTGCTACTAACAGCACCAGGAACAAATCTGCACATTTGGGGAGAAGAACAAGATACAAAATTCTCTGGCTTGTTACAAAGCAAGTCAAAGATGTAATTAGAACCAACCCAATGGATGAAGTCAACTCGTTTGACACCAGAAGATCTACAACATGGCACACTGGACTGCAATACACCTGCTTTCAGGTACCTCCTGTACGCATACCGGAGTGGAGCGGCGCAGTCGGCGTGGCCTTTGTCCCCGGGGTAGCTCATGCAAGTAGATGCATTCCGATTTGAAGGGACAGCTTCCATGCCGCGTGAAAAAACCGCACCTTATTTTCCTACAACAAGAACACATGATGCCAAGTAATACAGCCAACTCTCTGCATTGCTTGTTCACTACCAGGAATGTACTGTGAAATCCAAAGACCCTACCTGGATTTCTCCTTGAAACTGGAAATCAGAGTTTCCTTCTGCTCACCCTCTCTGACCCAGTACTTGTTGGGGATATAGAAAGTTGACTTTACCCTGCATTGAGGACAAGACCTGGAGGTGGACAAAATAAAATTCTTGGATAGGCATTTACCACTTTAAAATACCTGCCGTGTGGAGGAACCCAAGGTGTCTTAAAGCTTAACTGGGAGCATCATGCAGATTAAGGCAGTTTCTTACTTGACGACTTCATTCTGGAAGTCCTTGGTCTTCCTCCAGGTGACAATGCAGCCCAGACAAAAGGCATGACAACAGTTAGGCAGGATGCCGAAACGCCGCTCCTGGGGGGTGGGCTTCTCGTACACCTTGTCCATGCAGATCCCACAGGTCACGTCCTTACTCTGGTCATAGGCTTCTGCTGCCGACCTCTCTGCCTGTGCTCTGCTCTCTGAAGGTGCTGCACCCCTCTGACTTGCCACCTGCTGGCCACAGTTCAAGCTTCATGTTAAGCTTTGAATATTTGGAATACTAGGGCGCCCAGTTCTTCCAGTCACTGCCAAGCAACAGCATTTCAGGACTTTAAAATGAATTGAGTGCATACCATCCCAGAAGCAGAGCCCCTGCTATCTTCTAGTGCAACGCCTGCAACAGCGAGTAAAGGCATAGAAGCCACATTGGATGTGGCCCCATCAATGGGCTGAGGGACATTATGGGATACTGCAAGACTGTTCTGCATCTGCAACTCTGCAAGATATGAAAATTCAGTCAAAAGATTTGTCTGTATACCCAAATAGGTACAAATGATTTGTAATGAAGGCCCAGTGGAGGGATTTCCATCCATGGGCCCATAACCCCATGCAAAACAGCAGGTTACAGCATGCCCGCAGCCGAGTGCGTACTCACTTTGCTCCTGCTCTGTGGGTGCCCCCTCGGCAGCGGCATGCTCCTCTTCCTCTTTGATCTCCACACTCAGCCGCTCGAAGTTGCGCTGCTGACTGGCAAAGCTTGCCACCAGGGGTTCGGACCCTCTGCGGTTCCTGGCATAGCTCCCCCGGGCCATGGAGATGGAGGGCTCGGAGCCACGGCGGTTCTGGAGCACACTGCCCTCCCAGATGGGCTGGAGAGCAGGTGCTGAACCCCGTCTGCTCCCAACAGCACCCCCATCAGGCTGAAGAACATGTTGATATCTAGCAAACACCAATTTGACTTTATATACACAATGGTCCTCACTGCCAAGTATCTGAGCACCTCCTATTGAAGTTATCCATTTGGGACAAAGCCAAGCTAAACCCAAGCTTCTTGACCCCTCTGGATCTAATACACCGTCTTCACCCACATATCCCAAAGAATGAGCTGCTAATCACACCTCCACTACAAACAACCCAGTTAAACCCAACTCATCTGTCCAGTCTTCAACCTTGCACATCTTCCAGGGCAGAACTTTGAAAATGATGAGCAAGTTGGCTGAGCAGTTTCAGGGTGTTCATCTTCACATTGTGAAATATTCAGAAAGCTAGAAGAGCACGAACAAAATTTGCATTCCTCCCCTCATACCAGAAACTGCATACAAACACCACAAAATCTTGTGCAAGAAAGCAAAGCTTGCAGAAATTACACAGTTTAAGTGTTATTGCACCTTAAAGTCTTGCTTAAAAAACTAGATTAAAAAAAGGATCCCTCCACAGTAAAGGCATATAAAGCAACAAAAGTATTGTCTGGCTCACTGAAACGTCAAATTATGTCCCAAAATAGTTTTAAAATACTATTTTAGAAGGACTCATACATGCTGACTAAAACTAGTCAGATCTGTTAAAGAAAGCTAAACCCTACTTTAAACTGTGAGCAATGGACATGAAAACACTGCTTCACAAACCGCCCAGATGTTAAACAGCAGAATTCAACTTCATTCACACTTGGCCAACTCCAGCAAGTGCTTCCACAACAGAAAGACCAGGCCTGGGTCACTGCAAAGTGCTGTTTAGAGGCTCTTACACAGAACATAAGGCAAATTTGAAGTACTGGAGTACTTGGTCTCAAACTAGCTCGGCCTAGGAGTTGGAGGCTTGATATTCTATACCAGTGGTTCTCGAGCTGTGGTACACGTGGAGCGCCGCCAGGCGGTACGCCATATGACCCCTGAACTCTGTGTGCACTGAAATTGGGACGGCTTTTCATATTTACTATTTTAATAAAATTCGTTTGTCAAATACACAGCCTACATACTATGATACAGCGCGCACTAATACTTGAGTGGACACAAGAGCTACAATGTAATTCTAAACCATTCTATAGGAATGTGTGCTACAAAATGCAATTGGTTAGTTCTTCTCCAGCAAATAGGGAGGTAAGAGAATGTGTGTGATTTTAGAACGATGCCAATGTTGTAAGCACAGGAACGCATACTACGAACACTGGAAATCTTGTGAGGACAGGAAAGCGTGAGACAACAGAAAAATATTTAAGAACTGTTCTAGGTTAACTAACTTCTGAGAAACTCCTGAAACGGAAACGGGGAAAAATACAAGCTTGCAGATTGCTAAAGCAGGTAAGCTCCACACTACTTGTGAAGAACTTTGTTTACCGCTGGGAAAAGAGCTGACGTGTATTATGAGTGGAGAAGAAGCTGCTGAACAGCTCAACCTGCTGCCCCCTCCGAAAGACAGTCACTCATAGAATTATCAATACAGCAGATTTCAAAAGTACGCTGATAGAGCGCGTTAAGATGAGCAGATGCTCCTCACGGCAATTAGGCGAGTCTATAAATATAATTGATTTGGCCAATTTGCTCATTTACATTCTATATGAGCTTGAGGGCATGTCCCATGAGGACTTTCTGTTCTGCAAGCCGCTACCAACAGGAACTACAGGAGAGCACATCTCAGCTTCTGAATTAATTTATCAAAGAGAATGGCATCGACCGGATAAAATGTGTTGGAGTTTGTACGGACAGTGCTAGAGCAATGACAAGCCGAAACAGCGGTGTAGTCGCACGAATTAGAGAGGTTGCTCCAGATATGAACTGCAGCATCCACTGCAAGGCCTTGGCCGTCAAGGAAATGCCAGACGATTTAAAATCCGTTAGACCCCGTTGTGAATTCATTGGTCAAGCCTTGATACAATTCACATCTGCTTTGCTCGACTAAACAGGCTCACACCTCTCACTGAAATGGTGCTTTTTTATTGTTTATTCTAATTGTTGTTCCTTTTGTCATTCTGTAAAGCTCTTTGAGAAGCCACCATATCACATAGCTAATTATTATAATATTCATTATATGTGTATGTGAGTGGGTGCGCGCACATGCTCATGTTGGTCGTTTCGATTTTCTGGGGGGCCCTAAGAGAAGATCACTTGTAGGTGGTACATAGATGCTTGGTTTGATCAGGGGTGGTACTTGGCCCAAGAAGTTTGAGAACTACCGCAGTCAGTTGTAGTACAGATCCTATTGTAGCCATTTGACTATTAGGGGGTCATAAGGAAGAAACAGTGGGGAACATTTTTTGCTGTATTTGTCCACTCAGTCTCATTTTGATGAAGCAGGATAATGTTGAAATATGTAAAAAAAGCTTGTGTATTCACTTGAAATCAAGCAGCAACACTAAGACCTGCATGCTTTGATAAGCAACGCGACCATTGTCCATACCTGCACCTGTCACCAAACCAGCAGCCTCCTTTCTGAAAGTACTTGCAGATCTGTGTGGACTTCAGCACCGGCAACTCATGGGAAAAGTGACAGTTGGAACCAAATCGACAACAACCATTGATGAACTGCCTAAAAAAAAAAAGCCACCGTTAGTCAAAGCAACTCCTTTAAAAGCAGAACACATTGTAAAATGAAAGATAAGCAAGATCACATTATACCACATGAACTTAAGGGCAGAGCGGTGGCACTACATCTGCAGGTGTGGCTGGAAGGTTGCCAGTTCAAATCCCACAGCCGGCAGAGGAATCTTACTCTGTTGGGCACCTGAGCAAGGCCCTTAACCCCAGCTGCTCCAGGGGTACCGCAAGCTTCTCTCCCAGTCTGTGTGCCTCATGGAGAGCAAACTGGGGTATTCAAAAAATTGTGTATGACTAATAAAGTGATCTAACTTAACACTTTATAAAGCACCTTTTCAAACTGAAGGTCACTTTACATAGTGATGAAAATACAAAAAGTAGCCAAAAGGAAGATTTGCAGGATAAATAAAATCAGACACGGGCCTTATAAAAAAAAAGTGAGGTTTTAAGACTAGATTTAAGAGGCAAATGTGCCTCTCCAGGAGTCAAAAGAAAATGAGCAGCAACAGAAAAAGCACGGTCATTAGACAACCGAGAGTCAACACTTCAGTCCTTAATCGATTTGAACGCACAACACGTCTCCTCCTGGACTTGTCGGTAACCGATTTTTAACAACCGCTGCTCTAAAAGAGGAAGGTAAATAAAGCAAGCCTGTAACTTTGCTACAGTATCCTGTGCAGTTTGAAGTTTAGAGAAGCTTAGCCGTCAAACCAGGAAAATTAAGCCAGCAGAGGGCGCAAGAACTATCAGCAATTTTAGAGCTCCTCTTTAAACCTTGAAATATGAATCTTATTTTTCCAATGCCTTATCAGATCCAGTACAACGTTGAAAGTTACACTAATCACCCGTTCCAAATGACTCAAGATATAAACAGTTATTTTTATTTACACCCTAAATCATTAGGAAGCAAAAATGTTAAGAGACGTAATGTTAAGGAAGTAAATAAAAATAGGTTAATTCGAAGTTGAATTAGTTACACCTACACAAAATGGTTAAAGTTACAGGGAGGTGGGAGTGTTAATAGAAGCAATGCCTAAACCGCTAACATTTATCCTTAGTATTGGTAAGTCAGCGCACAAGTAAAAGGACAACTCCCTCGGGGTGTTGGAAAAAAAACTCCAAAACAAAGTTGCAGGAGTGTCCCGACCCCCTTTGTACTACTAAACCGGATGTAAACAGGATCAGAACTCTGGAGTATGGCACTTTCCCAACCACCACATGAACTTGTAGTACTCAAAGTTGAGACGGCTACATACTCGAGAGGAAATCGACTTTCCACAAAATCCCTACCTGCAAGGCGCCCTGCCTGCCAGCGGAACCCGCTTGCCGTTTGCTCTGCAAGTAAAGCCAGTCCGCTCCATCTCAGCCAAGCCTCCCACCCCCAGAGTCGACGAGACGGTCGCCCGGGTGAAAACTGAAACCGCCCGCCCGGACTGCGCCGCTCGCCCAGGCCGGAGCGCGTCACCACGGCGCGGCGTCCAATCAGCACCAGCAGGGAACCCCGCAGTCGGCACCCCCCAAAACACCCAGCCTTAACCTCCCCGGAGTAGTGGAAAACGAGATTTGAGCTGTCAGATGCAGCAAAAAATAAAAACGTGGAGTAAACCAATTTTTTCCCCCCCTGACAGAAGGGGAAGATGCGTATTGTGATTCCTTCGTCTGCAGGGGCGCTGGAATTTAAGGGATTAGGTTTGTGTAGAAGGGACAGAGGCAAGTCTAGACAACCTGTCAAGAAAGCTGCAATATCCTTAAAGGCTATTTCGTGCTCAGGTGGCTTCTTAAAATCAAGTAGCAAGTGCTTTTTACCTCCTGAGGTTGTTAATCCTACTAGTATTGCGGTCAACTGTCAGTGCATGACAGTGACTATTTTAACTGTATAGATGAATAAGTGACACGGAAAATAAACTTTTTTTTAAGAAAGCGACCAACTTAATACAAAACAGATTGAGGTTTCCCAACTAACGAGCCCTACCTGCAAAGAACTATGCTGCTGGTACCCAGCCCTTGCGCTGTAAGGTCTGATCTGCTTTCCATCTTCCAAAAACACTCCGATAGCTATTACGCCCCTCTGAACAGGGTTTTATAGACACTGGGTGTCAATTTACAGCTAGACTGACCAATGGGCAAGGAAGAACCATAGGCATCTCTGAACCAATAAAAGGCTGGGTGTTTGGGAAGTACCAATAGGGATTTAAAATTTCAGAACTGATCCTGCCCCCCTTGTCTCAGCAAAACTGTCATTGGCCCCTGAGTGAGTGGGAGGGCATGAGAAACACGTGTCTGTAGGTATGTGAGGAAGACACCCAACATTTCACCAAATAGTGTATGAAATGTAAAGACAGGGCTGCGTCAAAGTTTTATGTTTTTGTACATGATGGGCAAAGTACAATTATTGAATATTACACTATTATTCCCAGTACAACAGTAGTTTCCAGCCCTGGTTCATGACTTGTTTCACTTATGTTTTTGTTTCAACTGGGCTGTTAATCACCAGAGTTTATTAATCCTAGTTATGTGATTTTCAACAACTTTATGCAGTTCATTCTAAACTTGGTCCCTTTATTAATTTATTTTTGACTAAGAAGATCTTTGATTGAACAGGTGGCTGGGAGTGATTATATATCAAACACTCCCACAAAAATGTTATTTTCTCTTCTTAAATCTAACTACAAAAACAGAACTCATGGCAGATTCATATAAGTGTTCTCCTACCTGTTATTATATTTAATTTGCATTATTTGTTGCTACAACACTTGTATCTTCAGTTCATCCATATACTGAGATATGATCATCAGTATATACATCATATATACATCAGTATAGACTAAAATCAATTTCCATTTAATACAATACTGCTTTAATATATTAGATATGAAGCGCAGCTGTTATATTAACTACCAGCATATTTAAAATAGCTGACAAATATAGGCATCTTTAAAAAACATAAGTGTATTGTTCACGTGGTACATATGCTGTATAAAACATCTTTGTTGTCCCTATATGTTGTCTAGCACAAAAGTGACTTGATGTGGTTTTAACTTCTGCTACCAATTCATCACAGCCAGTGAGCTAGTTCTGTTTCTATGCTCTTAATGCACAGCTCTAGTTTTATGCTATTAAGCAGGGACTTAACTGCTAAAATCAATCTCTTATGGGAAAGGCACTTATTCCTGATAAGGCTCGTGGCAACCTCGCCCAAAGTATATGGCACAAAACAGGGCTACTTCATCACACTTCATCACAGCTTTGACAACTTTTAATTTGTGCAGACAGTGGTAGTGCTTCCAAATGTCATAAGATCTGTGAAATTGAAAACACAGATGGAGCAATCACTCAATTTTCAGCTTGGTATTTGTGCTCTGTACAGACGAAACCACAGAAATCTATGGAGACGGGGAAGTCCATGATGGATGCTCTCTCACAGGAACAGCAGCATCTTCAACATTCATTGCCTACAGTTTGGCACATCACATTCTGTTACCACATAAAAGCATACTGAGCTGGCATGCTCAAGGAGCTCATTAATGCAACTCATCACCATCATCACTCTTCTGTGCAAACTAAAGAGCTGCTTTGCTTCGGACGGCACACTAGCAAACGCACTTGTGAACCCACAGGATTAGAATTACCTGGGTTTCAGATCCTCTTCTTCGTCTGGAGGGATTGCTGGAATAATCAATGGAATAGTGCCATGGGGGGCAGAGGAATGTAAATAAAAACAACAGTCAAAAGAATGATAAAATTGAGGTTTATTCTTTAATTAAAATATCTAGGAGTATCTTCTCAAGTATTATGGAGTGTATACATTTGCTCAGCAACACTGTATATTTACAATATCATCATTTAAAAAAATAAAAAAACATTTCTAACATGTGCAAGAATAGATTAATTGTTGTGTCACTGTTTAGTAATGTTTCCATTTGGATCAAAGTACATTTGACCCCCACTGCTGTGAACGAATACAGCAATTCAGAGTAATAAAGTTAGGATGATTTCTTGAAAAAAAGTACAAAAGGTTGTCCATTTGTTCAGAACTGTAATCTTTCCACTGATTGCTGAAGACTCTAATGGTCATTGTTTAGCAAGCAATGGGCACAATGTTTTTTGATAAACGTACAGTTTATTACTCAGTTCCATTATTCAGAGTGCTACCGATAGGAAATTCACAGCTGACAATGCCTCTCTTATGACTGAACAGGGGTCTTATAGATACAAAGGAACCCATTGTTTCAGAATATCTGTATGAAAAATAAACATTACTAAACACACAACACAAAGATCAGTTTTATAGCAACAACTGCTATTAGTAAATCCAGAGATGGACCTTGGACACGTATCAGCATCGACCTGGAAAGGGAAAAGCAGCTGAATTAAGGGAGAACGTAAAGTGAATACTCATTGCATGTGAAGATAATTTTTTTTCTTTCCAAAAGAATTCCTTGGGTCTCACTTCGCTTTCTTAGAAGTACACGTCCCCATATTTTGTGCTTCCTGAAGGCCTGGGATCATAACTAACACCTGTCGACAGAGACGACAACAATGTAACTCTTGCCTTTATGTGAGGACGCAGGGAGGCACTGATGAATTATTCTGCCCTTTTACTCTTAGGTTTTGGCCTAATCCTGTGAAGGCTTCGAGCTGGAAGGTGAACATTAACTCCTCACCACAAACCCACGGTGGAGACCCCCAGGGGCTCAATGATGGGGGATCTGAGGTCAAGAATGAGGTGTGCCTGAAGAGCTGCTGCATATGAGAAGGAAATTCTCACGGCTGTTCCTGGCACTGCGCCCTGACAGCCGGCATGATCATTGTCCTTGACCTTTCTTACATAGAAAGCAGACAATAGCAAGAGGTACACCACAAACAACAGGAGCCTGCTGTCGTTGTGCAATGCCAGACACCACCAAACTGCACTGGGATCAAAGGAAACGGTCAGCAATCCTTCAATCCTTTGCCTGGGCACTGAAGCCATTTTAAGGGCTGCAACATCACTGGGCTAACTCAGCGTTAGCCAAGTCCCTGAAACAATGTGCAGCACAAAATATTCATTAAAAAAAATAAGCAGGAAAGGATCACCAGGCTTAGAATTAAAAGTTACAGTCTTCCACTTTTTAGTATTAAGGTCCCTCTTTTTGTTGCAGTTAGTAGCTGGTTGTGACAGTTTGACAGTAAATACAGATGGCACAGAAAACAGAACTCCTTTTCTATGTTCTTTTAAAACCTTTTTATGGAAAGACCGCTCTAGCCTTAAAGGGAGCTTCTACAGAGCCATTCTACTGTACATGCTCATCCTGTACTCTCATTCACCCTGCCTTTGAAGCTATAGTACTTCAAAAGTAGATACACTTTTAAGATGTCTCTGTACCGTTCTTACAATATGTTCACATGAGGTCTGCTGTTGTCTGAAATACTGGTCGAGAAGGTGGAACCCCACACGTCATGTAAGGAGAAAAGCAATGGATTCAGGTGATGGAGAACTGTGCCATTTATAGTTTCAGAGTAAGAGGAGCTACATTTAGTGAACACAGGTCTTTGTTCCTAAAACACAGAGGGAGAAAGACCTTCCTCATGGAGTTCTGGATAACTGTCCAAGAGGATATTTGCTTTGTCCAATGAACACCCCTGACACGGAACACTGGACTTGAGGTTGGTGTTGAGGCCCCAGAGGGGGCTGGAGAAGGGGCAACGAGGCCAGTGCGATCCTCTACACCAAATCACAGCCAGCCTTCATGCACAGCAGGACACTGCCTGAGGTCCGACTATTACAATGTGAATTTAAAGCTCAAACTAAAACCCTTATTGGAAGCTAATATCCAGCATGTCTGTCATCCAGCATTTCATTAAAAAATAACACTGCTAACCTCCATTTTTTCCTTTTTATCAAAACATTAATTTCAATCTCACACTGTTCCCACCAAAGACTAATGAGATGTTTTCATAAAAATAAAATAATGAAGCGTTACAATGAAAAAAAAAAAAAGAACGCACACATTCATGAGGGTCACCCAGGACGTGAATGAAAGGGCACACATTTTATCCCCTTCTGTCAAAATGATCTTGATAACCAATTGTCGTGGGGCTTTGTTTAGCAGTTTTAGAACTGCAGCAAAGTAAAATCTCACAGCATCGTAACTTCCATCGCTCCCTGTGGTCATTCATTAAAGAACGCAAGGCATTGCTTTCTAGGTGATGCTTGAACCTGAGCCCTGTGTGCGTGCTTTTCTTTATTATAACTGAAGACAAGAACTGGATAATTTGTAGTATTTTGCATGAGACGATCAAGGGGATTTCTCACAGACAGAGTCTAAACAAGCACAAAATCAGGGCTTGGGACCACAAAGGGTTACAACTGAAACTGGGAAAAAAACGCAAGACAGTAAGGTCGGTCATTCAAGGAACTAAAACACAAAAAGGCAAATGTGAATAAATACCATTATATTTTGAATAGAATTCCGCTACAGACAGTAATTAAATAGATGCTACCTTTTGAAGCACATTCACTTGACAGAAATATCACCTGAGATGCGCCATCAGCTTCAGTTAAACCATCAATAATTGTTCAGGTCTGTCATACTGTATG